AACCAAAACATAAAACAGAAGCAGTACTGTAACAAATTCAATACAGACTTTAAGAACGGTCCATATTTAAAAACAAACAAACAACAAAAAAAAAACTTCAAAGACGTATTTTAAAAATACCTTTAAAAGAAATAAATTATATAAATTTAAAAGGAATAACACTAGTAATAGCAATAACGATAATCCGATGTGACTCAGGGGCACTAAGGGCTCCACCTGGGCAGACGGCTTACACCTGCTCTCACACACCAGGCACTAACCGTAAGGGTGGTGAACGCTTCCACACGCTCATGACTGGCACCGGTCTTGAGCGCATCATGCCTGTGAACATGTTTCAGCGCCTTTTTTATGTTTTCAAAGAAAAGGGCCCCGGGTATTGTTGCTCACCGTGTTTGGCTCCCGGGCCTGCAGGTGGCTCTTACTCCTCTGACCCCAGCAGGCACTCACGGGCCTGGAGGATCTAAGGGGCCACTGAACTGTCAAAAGAGTCCCCGAGCACCTGAGCACCTGTCACTTTGGGGCAGAGACTAAGAGCCAAGACGAGCCTCTCTGAGGTGTTCTAGGCAGTGAAAAATGCATGCTCCTGATCACTGGGCCACCAGGAAGTTCCCAAAGATGGTGTCTTATATGATTCCAGAAATATCAAAGCCCAGAACAGGGCAAGAGAGCGTCACGGGTATGAGTGGGCGCAGGGGACCCTGGAGGGAGAAAGGGGCTCCAGGGGTCAGCTCCAGGGGAGCGGGCACGAGGAGGGAGGGGGCTGGACGGGCAAAACCGGAGTCAGAGACAGAAACTGGTGGCTGTCTACAGCCGGGAGCATGTGGGCTGCGGTGACCCGGGCTGCTCAGAGGCCGGTCTATCGTGGCTGAGCAAAGTGCGCCAAGGACGGCGGGGGTCCCAGGGTGAGCAGGGGGCACTGCTGAGCTTCGGATGGCATGTGTCCCTCTGCGTGTCAGAACACTGCCAGGTGCCAATGACTGCGGGGTCCCTACTGCCCCGAGCTCACCCGCGCTGGCAATTTCCCCTCCCAAGCAGGGCCTCTCTTTCCACTTAAACCTGATCTTATCTCTCCCACCCCCAGCCTGCAGGATAAAGTCTAAGCCCTGCAGCCTGGTGTGAAACACGCTCTCTCCATTCTTCTCGCCACCGAGCAGGTCCCCAGGTCCGAGGGCAGGCCCACACGCAGCCAACAGATCCGGGTGAGCCGGCCCAAGCCCCCTCCCTCTTCGGGCCTGCTCCCAGCTGACCCTCTGGAGCCGCTTTCTCCCTCCAGGGACCAGGCAGGGCGCCCTGCACTGCCCACACCCACGATGTGCTTCAACTTCACAGACATGTGGGCACCGTGTGCAGCAAAGGGGGAGCTTGAAGCAGATCCCCAAATGGAGAGACTGGCCAGAACAACCCATAAAGAATTACAAACCTCCAAACAGACGGAAGGAAAAGCACAAAGTTTTGGAGGCCTCGGACAGGGAATGTGCCTTCAGTTGGCTAATTGGAGAGACTTACCCCAGGAAGGGGCACCTGAGCCTGGGGGTGGGGACGAATTCCACTCCAGGGAACAGCCTGTGCAGAGGCAGTGAGCTGGAAAAGAGCTCAGAGCTTGAGCAATGAAGGGACGGGTAGGACAAGATGAGGCTGCGGAGCGAGGGAGGCCGCAGCCAGCCTGCAGGCCCCACGGGCCACGACAGAGCCTACAGTCTTTATTATCACCGCAGTGAGACAGTTTCTAGCCAGGGCCCTCAGGGACCAGGTCGGGGTGTCTCCCAGCTCATCACTCGGAGGGCTGCAAAGGCAGTTCCTGGCTTGCCCAGGCCTCTCCTCCAGGCTGGGAGCGCAGGGTGGGAGTGTGGATGGTGCTCAGCAAGCAGTAGCGTGCCGCTGTGGAGAAAGCGGTCCTTGAGTCCACACTGGGGGTCTGGGGGCCATTAGAAGGACTTAACGTCCTGCCAGCTAATGGAGATGGGCAGAAGAGGTGACAGTTCAAACTCAAACCTCTTCCCCGCAAGCTCATTCAGGGAAAACCCTGGGAAGCTCTACCTGGCCGGAGCCGCTGCCCCGAGGAAGATGATCGCTCGGTAATGCTTCTATCCATTCTAGGACGGCAGCGGCAGACCCACGCCCCGGGTGACACCTGACAGCCGGCCCTGGATGCTGCAGTTCTCGCTGCTCCCCTGAGGCAGCCGCTCTGGATGCCAGGAGACCCCTGAGCGCTGGGACCAGGACCTTTGCACCACCCTAACCCCACTCGCCCACATGGACGAGGCCCCCGAGGCACCTCTGCCCAGGTCTGTTCACTGATAACTGAATCTCGGGGCAGGGCCTCAGCGGCACCAGGCTGCCGGCTCCACAAGAACCTTGGTGCAGAAAAACAACTGAATCATCCCCATGATTCTCCAAGCCAAGCCCTCTTGAGACAAGTAGTTTTTTTTTTTAAGGAGGGGGATGGTGAGGGGGCAGGCAGCAGCTTGGGAGCTGGTTTCTATGGCAACCAGCTTCAGTGATCTGTATAAACCCCAGACCCCCAGTTCCCAACCTGTCCTCAAGGGCAGCCAGAAAAAAAAAGCATAACCTCTCAGCTCTGAGAATTCCTTTCAATCCCTGGGCCCTGGAGGCTTAGTGGGAGCATGAGCAGAATGCTCTGGAGTTGTTCAGAAACATCTCAGAAACGCATCTATCTTGACCTATGCAGCCCCAGGCCACTTCCCCAGGGACCTGAGCTCTGCCTTCGGAGAAGGCCCTTTGAGCTGCGCCCCTTCTGGGCCACATCACCTTTCTCTGTTCTCTTAGGACAAAACGCAGAAAGGCCAGTACTGCGAACCCCAGCCCCAGGGCCCGGCTTCCCAGCCTCTGAAGTCTGAACATGCCTCTGCCTCTACTGGCCCTGGGCCCCTCCCCGCATGCCTCCTCATTCGTGTCCCGAGAATAAACATTAAAACAGGCGTCTGAAAACAACGGCCTGGTCAAGGTCAAGTTTGTCCGTCTACGGCCTGGCTCTGAACTTGAACCTCGTATTTCGTGCCGGGTGGGGTGACTAAGGCGGCGCTGAGCGGCCTCACCTGGCACCTCTCAGCGCTCCTCTGCCAGCCCCTGCCCATCTCTTCTCCTCTTGGGGCCTGCACGAAGCGTGGCCTGTCACCCTTCTCCCCAAAGGATTGTTCTCTTCACAAAAGAGGAAACGTCCTGGCCTTATCAGATATCCGCTTCATGCTCAAGCACAGATGGATAAGTGAAAACTTATCCCAGAGATACCCAGGCTGGAAGGTTATCCTAAGGTCACCCCAGGCATCTGAGGGCAGCTGTTCTGTGTGCCCTGGGTGAGACAGACTCCCGAGACCAGCTGAGACCCCCCTGGGACATGCAGCTGATGGCTGAAACCCTTGAAGCTGCATGTCCCCACGTCCCCCACGATGAGCTTACTAACCTTCTTTGCACCAGAACGGGAATTCAGGGCGCCCAGTTCCCCTCTACTGTTCACCACCTGCCTGCGCTGTGGGCTGTGTGTCTGCTTGCGGAGAGCAGGGCATGGGAGGTTCCCCAGGGCTGGTCGTTCTCTAACCCCCCAGGGCAATGGGGTGGGCGGGGGCTGCAGTCCTTTATCTAAGAAAGTAAAGACACAAGCAACAGTGGTGGAGCCGCCAGAAGAGCTCAGCAAACATCAGGCCCGACTACGTACGCAGACACTTACTGCTCATGGCAACCTTCTCATAGCATCCTAAGACGTAGGAGAGAGCAGCAGCCCCATTTCACAGAAGAGGAGACGAAGGCGCGAGGTCATATGCTCACACTGGCCTTGACCTTCCAACCAAGCACTCACTGGGACCCGAGCACCGTGTGAAGCACTTTCACACGCATCACGTTGTTTACTCCTCCCAACACACTACTGACACCATTGTACAAATAGGAAAACTGAGGCTTCGGAGGAGCCCAAACTCGCCTTCCTCCACAGCCCCCAGCCCTTTGGGAGAAGGAGGGGGTGGATCATGTCAGGCTGCTGGCCAAAGTCACTGCAGGGCACCACCTGTGGACAGCACACCTCTGCAGGTGCGTGCGGGAGGGGAGGGGACACCAGCTAGGTCACCTACAGGCCCCGGGGGCTCACGGGAGTCTGATACGGGCGGTCAAGGAGGGAGCGAGGGTGGCTGAGGTCACCAACCCTGGACTCAAGGGCAAAAGAAAATGTTGTCAGCAGGAGGGCTGCTGTGTGGCGATGAGATTCCCCTTTGTCCTGATCGGGAAGGACAGGATGTCACCCTTCCAGTCATCACGCGCTGAAAAGTGCTGGTTCGAGCATCCCTCCCACTGGGGAGGCCCTGGATCTCTAAGCGCATTTTTCACTGATAACATGACCTTGTTTTTCATGACCCCGAGCCGCTTTCCTGAGGAATGAATCACGCTCTTGTCCACAACAGAGAAAAAACACAGGGCAAGTCAGTGAGGGCGATGGCAGAGGCGCTCAAGGCGGCGGGCAGGTCATGTGGGGTCAGGGCCCAGGACACTGGGAACCAGGGTGAAGGGAGGAGGGAAGAGACAGGGAGACTTGGTTGGAGCTCAGAGACGCGCCTGCGGGTTCAAAGCCATCAGCAAGCAGAGGGGGTTCTCCACCAGGGCAGGACTCAGGGGCCCAAGGGCGGCCGTTGCAGCTCAAACACCCTCAAGGGGTCCTTTTCATCAAGGGTGGCAAGAGGGTTCCCACCTCCGTGCCAACACAGCACCTGTGGCTCTGGCCATCTGTGCACGGAGGAGGCAAGGGCATGATCGGACTGGACAGTGCCCTGATCAGTAAACCGTATCTCTAAGGGTAGGCAGCAGATGGGGGTGGGGACAAGCGGGCCCATCACACCTCCAAAGACAGAGGCCCCGTCAGGGAAGGGCCTGACCACAGGCCCACGTCTTGGCAGCAGCAGAGCTGTGTCTATGGGGAGCCCAGCAGGACAGGTCCACCGCCGCAGGGGCTCAGAGCCGTTCCCCGCACCCCCACCCCCACCCCTGCCCCCGCACACCTGGAACCTGTGCACCAGCTCCAGGGACTGGCTGTCATTCTGATCGGCTTCGAGGATGACATCAGTCAGCTTGTGGATGATGACGTCCAGGGGGCCCTGCTCCTCGATCGGCCGGCTCAGGTTCAGCTGCAAGCGGGAAACACAAAGAGAAAGAACAACTTGAGGCCATGAGCCTGCTGCCCTGTCTATCTCATCCCCTCTGCATGTCCCCAGGGCACGGAGCGTGAGGAGGGCCGACACTCCCAGGACAGGACCTGCTGAGGCCCTGGAACTCCTCCAGGGCAGGCCCCCTGTCTGTGCTTCCGTTCCCGAACACCAGGCTGCCCAGGACACAGAAGACACACAGGTGGAGTCGGGGTGACCGAGGGCCTATGGGTCCAGCGAGAGTCACTGTCAGAGCGTTTACTGGCCACCCTGCAGCTACCCCAACACCCGGGGCCTCTCGGATGGGGACACCAGGGTTCGGCAAGGTCAAGTCCAACGACTGAAGTCACACGGCCAGACCTGAACTGAAATCCAAGCAGACACTCTCCCCACAAAACTCCCCACGGTCTCAGCAAAGCTGTGATCTGTGCGAATCTAAGAGCCATCTCTCTGCGAGGCTGGCCGCCAGCACTTCACACTGAGATCAGGGCTGGCCTTTGATGACAAAGCAAGGGATGCAGGGCCACCTGGAGTCCCTGAGTCCCTGGCTCGCCCTGCTCCACTGGGGGAACGTGTTTATTTTTTCAAGAGCGTGGGGTTTGGAAGATCGGGTCCCGGGCGAGCCAGAGCTGCTGGCTGACAGCCGGCATCCCAGACCCCCAAGACGGAAGCACCTGCCAACAGCCGGGCCGCCTGACACCACGCTTCCTGGCTGCCAGATGTCTACCGCCCGGCACACGGCCGCCACCACCTGCAGGGCCTGCGCCCTTGGAGGTGGCGGCGCCAGTCGATCACCTGGCTGACCCCCAGAGTGGCCTCAGCGGAGGCCAGAGAAGGCCACCAGCCCCACCCCTGCCCTCCATCCCACTCCCCAAGTGGGGCTCCCTCTGGGATTCCAGGCTGTTTGTTTCAAAGTCATTAGGGAAGAGATCATGATGACAGCTCTAGGGAGGCTCGGTGCTAAAAATGTATGTCCATTTGTTTCTTTTTATTTTCCAGCCACACAGTGAGAGGCAATTCCACACACGACAGTGGAAAACACAGACTTCTGAAACCTGCCAAAGATTTCACTGTGAGGAAGCAGAGCCAGAACTGAAGCTGGGCCGGTCACCAGCCCCCATCCCGAGTCCCGTGCCCGCGCTGCGCCCTAGAGCCACGACCGCCTGGGTGCCTTGCCCTCTGGCTGCTGGCCACGTATGGCCCTTTGGAGGCACCAGCAGAAGATGGGAGAGAGGATGGGACAGGAGTCTGGGTGCTTGTCCCCACCATCCTCACAGCACCAACATCTCCCTTGAGCAGGGCGGCCCCTCTCCCAAGACCACCACTGTGTCTAGGCTCTTCCCTCCCCTCGTCCCCTTGGGCCTGGGGTGATGACACCCCACCACTTTGGGGGTGCCTCACCACCTCCTGCCGGCTCCTTTGACCCCGCCCATGCCATGTCATCCTCCTGTTTTAAACTCTTTTTCCATTAAACCTTCAGAATGCACCAGGTCTTTCCTGCTGATAGCCTTAACTCCTCTTTTTTATTGTCTGCCAGGAAAGATGTTAAGGGATTTTCCCTATTGAAGAAAAAAAAAGTCTCATGGACTCCACAAAAGGAAAATACTGAAGAACACTGATCCCTTGATGTTCTAGCCTGTGAACAAAACAAAACAGCAAAAATCAGACCAGCTGAGCTGCTGCCCATCTTCCAAGACTCCTAGATGGGGAAGGGAAGTGGTACTTGTCCTCACAGGGTGGCCAGGAGCTGGAGGTGACAGCTACACCTTCACAGAGCAGGACCCCAAGAGCTGAGGAGGAAAAATGACTGGGTGAGCCCTCATGGTTGGGAAATGACCCACTGGGACCTGGACAAACAGCAACACAGATGGGCTGAGCCTGCAGCCAAGCTGCCATGCCCTGGGGCCTGTGCAAAAGCCTAGCAGCATCCCAGGGCCTCAGTTTCCCCTTCGATAATAACAGGAAACTTCAAGGATCTTTCTGGTTCTGTCCATGCATTCATTATTAATTTCCATCCAATACCACTTCTTAGGGAAAAAAAAAAAAACAGGATTGGAAGGAAAGCAGAGCAGCCAGTGGCAAGTGTGAACACGGGCAAGGAACAGCTCATTCTCAGAGATGCCCATCTGCCCTGTAAGCAGTGGCTCCACTGTGACAGGCACCAAAGCAAGAGGCCAACATTTTCAGACCGAGACGGCTACGGGCGGAAGAGCCTGGGTCACGTGGGAGGCTGGGCAGGGTGCCCCAGGCCTCGGAAACCCCATCCCAGAGAGAATGCTTCCTGTGCAGCAAGAAGGAACAGAAGCCAGCCCCTGAGAGGACTCTGGGGTCCCCACGCCTCTGGGGAAGGAGGTGGGCAGGAGAGCCCCTGGGCTCGTGCTCGCCCGGCATCACCCAAGGTCTGTAGACCTGACAACTGTGGGCTGTTTGCAAAATAAGATCCCCGCGTTCCCGGCCACTCTGCTGAAGGTAAACAGTTGAGTTTTGGAAGCCGGCCACTGTCCTTTGTGTATTTTCCAAGCGTTTTTTGTGCCAGTGAAACCCTTTCACGAGAGCCGCGGCTCTGGACACACGTCAGGCCTGGCTAGTCCCCGCTCTGCATCCTCGCCGGGGCCCGAGCAGAGCTGTCCGTGGCTCCAAAAGGCCCTCCTGGACCAGCCTTCCTCAGAGGACCGGACGAGCCGCCGAAGCCCTGAGGGGGTCTACCCCAAGGAGCCGGAGCCTTGGCAGCCCTGAGGGGGTCTACCCCAAGGAGCCGGAGCCTTGGCAGCCCTGAGGGGGTCTACCCCAAGGAGCCAGCGGTCCCTCCCCACTGGCTGGGAAGGGGGAGAAGGTCTTCCGGGGCTGCACCCTCAGGGTCCAGGGGAGCCAAAACTGCTGTCGGTCAGCAGGCTCTGGGCACACGCAGCAGAGAACCTAGGATCCTGCAGAGGAGGGGACCCTCAGAGGGGGCTGGGGGTGCCACAAAGGAGGGGACCCCTCACAGAGGGAGGGGGTCCCAGAAGAGGGGCCCTTGGGTGGGGGGGTTGCTGCAGAGAAGGGAACCCTGGGACCAGTGGGGCGGGTGGGGGGAGGCACCTCAGAAGCCTCGTTCCCCAGATGGGACGGGACTGGGGGCCAGGACGGAAGTGAACTCACTCCGAGTGTGTCATTTGGTTTTTCTGACCACACTCTGCTCACAGAAAAGGAGTCTCTCCTGGGGGACCTGTTCTCCTCCTCAAAGAGGACCCAACTGGGCCCCCTCAGCCAGTCACTGGGGGTCCAGACGGAAGGGCCCCTCCGCGGTGGCCGGAGGCGCCACGTTTCCAAGTCGTGCCACCCTGAGACGCCGGCGCTGGATGCTGCTCTGCGAGTGCTCGGGATTCGGAGAAAACAAGGGCCCGCTGTTTCCTCGGTGGCGAAGGCGATGAGGCAGGCGAGGGTGGAGGGAGGCCCAGGAGGAGATGGGACAGAAGCCCACAGACCCCAGAGGCCCAACAGCCACCTCCGACCTTGGGAACAAGCCACCCCGCCGTGATCCAAGGGGAGCTGGGTGCTTGCCTCCCGCCCACCAGCTGGCTGAGGAGGACAGGATGCGACGGTGGGCACCTGGAGACCCCTCCTGGCTGAGCGGCCTCTGTGCCGCGGTTCCACCCTTCATAAAACAAGCGTGTCAGAACTACGCCTTCCAGGGCTGGTCTGTGAGTTAGAACATTCCGTTTATAGATGTGGCACCTAAGTCCTCTAGATATCTTCCTGCTTCAGCCTGATCACTTGTTAACCTGACAAGTATCTTCTGGGCCCCTCCTGTGAACAACGCACAGACGCCCCCTGTCCTCTCATCTCAGGGCCTCATGGGGGCCATAGGAGCACCTCTGTTCACACTGGGCACAGTCCCAGCCGCCCCAGACCCTGCACGGGGTGGTGCTCCTCTGCCGCAGTGAGTCCTCTGCCTGGAGTGTCTACCACAACCTGTAGCCTCTCGTCCACACATGAGCTCTTACTAGTCTCCCAAGCCCCAGTATAGAAGTTTTCCAGACTTCTGAACTCCTCGTTTCCCAAACAGGAAGCATTACTGGCTCCTTCATCTCAACCGTGTCCCCGAGATGCTGTGCACATCCCTCCAAGACTGCACCGCAACTTCCAGGCATAAAGTGGTTTCTTTAACCTTCTGTCTCTTCCACAAGATCCTGAGATTCCCCAATGACCAGGGCTGCAGCCTGGCCTAGAACCAGGCCCCAGGCAAGAATTAGGCTGTTGCTGTTGTTCTGTCACTAAAGTTATGTCCAAGTCTTTGAGACTCCATGGACTGTAGCCTGCCAAGCTCCTCTGTCCAAGGGATTTCCCAGGCAAGAATAATGGAGCGGGTGGCCATTTCCTCCTCCCAGGGACCTTCCTGACGCAGGATTGAACCCGGGTCCCCTGTGCTGACAGGTGGATTCTTTACCAGTGTACCACCCAGGAAGCCCAAGAGCTCGGCAGACGTCTGCTAAGTGCACTGGCAGCTTCAAAGAATGGAGCGAACAACGCAGACCCAGAGGGGACCTGCCACGGAGCAGGGTGATGCTTTCCTGCGAAGGGGGTTGAAATGGCCTCCTGGAGGAGAAGGAGGTGTCCAGACCAAGCCAGGAAGGGAGAGGGAAGAATGGGACCTCCAGAGATGGGCAGGGGAAGGAAGGCTTAATGCAAGTAGAGGGGCAGCTGCCAAAATGCAGGACGCACCATCTGCATTAAACCCTCTCCTTTACCTATCAGTTCCCAACACCTCAGGTGCCCTAAGCTTCTACCTCTGCAGAAAGAGCTTTTCCCACAGCACTGACCGCTGACCGGCACCTTGCAGGGGGTGGCCCATCACCGCTCCCCCTTCTCATGCTTCATCTGTGGGCTGGAAGCAGAGGAACCAGTAGAAGATTCCAGTGCCTAGGGGACCGGGATTCGGCTGTGGTATAAACAATGAGCAAATGTTCAGTGCATTAAGCCACCAAGATTTTGGGGCTGTCTGT